CGAGGAGGACACGGGCTCGCCGGTCCCCGCCGGCTGCCTGCCTCCTCCGCCGCGGCGCTGCTTCCCCCACGGTCTGCTTTCCATTAAATTCCAGCCGCTAACGCAACTCTGGCCGCTTCCCAGATCGGCAAGCTATATATATTTCTTCAAAGATAAAGTCATGCAAGCCAGCCCGGCTACTACAACCTCGTGCTTGGAGTTGCCTTGCTCCGGTCCTCAGCGGCAGCGCTGGCTGCGAGGGCTTTGGCATGGCCTGATGCAGCTAGCAAAACCCTGCTGCCCTCGGGGGCAACTCCAACGCGTTGCCCGATAACCGCTTGACTTCGCGGCTCGTATGAAGTCAAAGGAGCCGCAGCGCGGAAGACGTGCCTACCGCCTCGCTCCCTGAAAGAGCCCGGCAAAAGCCACGTCGTCCAAAACGACGTCGCAGGCACGGCAGGTTTTGCTGATGTTCGATGTTAAAATCCACGGTCCAGTAAAACCGTGAAGCCGAGGAGAACATTGCTCGCAAGTCCTCACGCAAACAGCCCTGCATAAGCTCAAGACCCCGAGGGAGCCGTTTTTCCTGTCCCCAAGAGGCGTTTTCTGCGCAGGGATCACCAACACCCTGGCAGTCTCTGGGGACTGTATTAGCTTAAATCAGAATATAAGGCCCCAAAATCCTGTTGCTCAACCCTGCAGCTAACTCCAGGCTCTTGCAAACTCACAGTCAGTTTGAAAAGCTACTTAAATTATCGGAGGCTCAAAGTAGGGCCACCTCCAAAGCTGCAGCAGGCTGCTCAGGGCTGTATCAGTCGGATTTTGAGTATCTCAGGACTGTAGAGGTTAACAGATCCCTTTCCCTGGACATTGACCTCCTTAAGCAGGGCATGGGACTCAAACACCCTGGTCCTGGAGCTGGGACAACTGGGCTGCTTTGCAGCAGGACACACAGGGCTTTTCATAGTACTTGCACTGCTTTTCTTTTTTGAGCCAATGGCAAAGATGAGGTCAAAACTCCCACGTATTGTCACGAACATTTTTTGCACAACTGTAGCGGTTCCCCGCTCCAGGCACTGACACTCAAACCGAGGTGATGCTCTGCTGTTGTCCCCAGAGTTTAGCTCTACTATTTCTTGGAGGAAAACCACGTGTCCTGGGGCTCCTGATGTTCCCGACACGCTGATGAGCTGCCCGCGGCCCCCGCGCAGGGGACAGCTGTGGCGGCCTGGCACGCACGGCTCAGGAGAGAGGCTTCGCTGTGCAAACCGGGCTGCTGTTACCGCTCTGGGGCTTCAAGAGCTGCACATGGAACGGATTAACACAGCAGGTATTTCCTCCCTAGGCATGAAATTTCATCAGCGTTTTTCAAACCGTTCCAGTAAGTACTGTAGATGACCCGGACTGGCCAGAGCTCACGTCTGAATTACTTCTGCATTTAAACGCTTTTGTGTTGTACGTTGCGGTAGACTTTGGACTCTTCCCAGGTGAGGTGCTCACTCAGGCTTTATCAGCGAGCGAGCGGTAGCACAGGTCTCGCACAGACAGGAGCTCACAGACAGCTGGGCACTTTACAGCGTGTGCTGGGAGCACTGGCAAATATTAGTCAGTGGTGAAATATTTTGTGTTTCCTATTATTAAGTGTAAAATTATGAATTCTGCCCTGGAAACAGAGCCTATTTTGGCTCCCTTACCTAAATAAGCGCCATGATTTTTCAGCTCTTCTGGGAACTCCTGGAGATACGACTCCCGGAGAGGAATGACCTTCCCGCTGCTGGTTTCCTTGAGGACTGCTCCGTTCCAGTCGTAGGCACCCACCGCCCCCAGCAAGATCCCATCCTAGGGGGAAACGAGCGTTCAGCATCGGGGCGTTTGGCTATTCAAAAAGTTGGAAGTCTGAACAGCAAACGTCTTTGAACCTAGGCAAACTGCACAGACGGCGAGCAGCACCTTCCAGCTCTCGTGCAACGAGAGGACCAGCGTTACCCCAGGCTCGGCACCGCACAGGCCACCCCAGGCTGCCCCTGCCCTCCAGCCATGGCCCCTGCCCCGATGCCCCTCTCGAATGAGACCCCAACGGATCACAGCATCAGCGGCACCACCAGCGCTGTGCTCCCACCAGCCTGACCACAGCTCAGGGGCTGCTTAATTGCAAATGTACCAAAATCCGAAGTCTGAGCTAGCACTAAAATGAAATTAAAGAGGGACATTGAGTACAAGGTCAATTGCTCTTTGTTTTGCACCAAATCAAGCTTGCAGATTTTGGAAAGCAACATTACTGGGCTCATTAACAGAGGGCAGAGATGCAGGCGTGTGCCTCACTTAGACTTTTAAAGCCCCTTCAGGTTCCCATACCAGGGAGGGCTCTCAGCAGTGGGTTAACACCCCAGCTTCAACTCTTAATTAGGCAGGTTATTGCTTTTCACTAAAACCACCCGTGCCTGGCGAGGGATTTGCAGCGGGATCCCACAGTGCGGCTCCTGCTCGCGTCCGGAGACACCAGGAGCCCCTGAGGCTTTGGGGAGCGCTGGCAGCGAGCCCTGTTGCGCTGCCTCGGCCACCCACGAGGCTTCGAGCAGAGGTTTCGGAGGCCCTCGCTGTTTCCGCGTTGCGGGCAGCGTTGGGTTGATTTTGAAGCGCTGCTGTGAACGCAGGCTGAGGATGGCTGCGGGGTTGGGGCCAGGCCTTGAAACACAGCAAGGTGCTCTTGGGAGATTAGCTAGTCTTTCCAGATGGCCGGGATTTGGACAGATCCTGTTGCCTTTTTCACGTTCAGGTGGCTTCCGGGCTGGTTTCTTGGCCTCTTTCCACTTATAGTGTTTCTTGCCAAACGGAGACGATTCTCCCCTTCGCTGCCCAAACGGGCAGAGCCGATTTGTGCCAGAGAGCCGAGATGGACGAGGGGAGCCTGATGGGCTGTTCTTGTGTGAGAACATGTACTGGTCTCCTTAAAAGCCCGATTCCTAGACAACACGCATACTAGACGCTACAGAGCGCCGAAGAGCAAAACAGCAGAGCGGTCCCCCCCAGAAATCACACTTGCCATTTACAGAAACAGGGAGGAACCTCACAAGTGGGGGGGGAAAAACCCCAATTTCAGCAGCATCTGCAGCTGGTCCTCCCACCCTGCACTAAGCCTGCAGCCCCTGGCAGCCAGTGGCGCACACTGTCTAGGTTTAACTGTTCCACCTCCTCCGTGCTCTGCATTCATTTTGATATTTCAAGCCACGTAACTTTTTTTTTGGCCAGACCTGTTGACCTGTGGAGCCTGGCGGCAGCCTGAAAACAAAGGTCCCTGACTGTCCCCTGCAGCACGGTGAGGGCTGAGAAAGGGCCTCAAATTTTGCTGAATTTGTGCTAGGGGTGAACTTAGCCTCCAGGCAAGACTTGCGTTTGCTTCAGTAGTGCGCAGTGCAGTCTTGAAACAAACGTGGAAACTATTGAATACTACTGGTTCCCTTAAAGGATGAGAGAGAAAATACAGAGCAAAACTCAGGGTACTTCCTCTAAGCTCAAGGATCTGTTTTCTCTAGGAAAAAGAGGCTCTTTCTTAGAGATGCACAAAAGGCCCAGATTAAACATTGAAGCACAAATTAAACACATCTTAAAACTGTCACAGACTTGTATTTACAGCCTGACCTCACGCGCTAAAACCCATCCCACCCATTTTCCACAGGTCAACTACCCACAATAAACACACGAGCAGGAACTGAACAAACACATTTGCTCTCTTACTTCCACAATATGCGATGAAAATCCAGTCTGGGACATTTCCAGTCCAAAGGAGATTTCATTCTTGTTGCTGGTTCCTAAAATAAAAAGGAATTTGTACTTACTGGAAAGCTTTCTCGGAGAAGCCAGGCTGTTTGGTGGATCCGGGCAAGACAAATAGCCACCTCTGCCCAGCCTGGAGCACAAATGACCTCAGCTGGTACAAATGTGCCCGTTTCCCTCTAAATCACTGCAATTACACCGGCTTGCACTGCTAAGGAGCCACTGGCTAAATACTGTGAGCTCTGCCTTTCCTCCCTGCTGCCTGCAGAACCTGCAGAAATGGGGGTTTGGAGGATTTTGCTTCATCTTTATAGCTGCATGAAGTTTCTCAGGTGGTGCTTTCTACCATTGAAAAATATCAAGCTGCTTGGACCAAGATAACTGGCAAAACTGGTGGGGAGTTTGTGAACTGGTCTGAACCAAGTCCTCCAAGCTAAAGCCCTAAAATGTTTCATTTTAAGTGAAAACCTTTCATCTTTTTGTTGCAATTGTTTGTTTCAGTATGCAATTTTCCTATGAAGCTTACATAAATTCAGCTTGAAGAAAAACGCACTGCAAAGAAATAAGTGTTTTATTTGACAAAAGCCAAATCCTGGGGTGGGTGAGGTGAGGTTCATTTTGGCAGGTGGACAGAACACTTTTGCTTAGATTGATATAAAACAAAAATATTTCCCGATCTCTTCTGTCAGCCAATAAACTAAAAAATCCCACATTATTCTCATAATCCCATAATGTCTGACACTCCAGGGTATCCCTGGCAGCCAGCATGTGGTGAATTTTGACTGCTTATAACTTGGCTGGATTTGAATGGAGTTTGATGGGTAAGTAGAAGACAGTAACTGCCTCCCAGACTACCCGCATGCCAAATTTCAAGCGTCTGCTATACATTATAGAGCCATCACAGCTCTCCAGATAAAGGCTGCCAAAATTTTTAGATGACCTTTGGTGGAGATGCGGGCTCCTTCAGCTTGAGGGGTGCAAAAAGCTCAAAATAAGTTTGTGCCTCAGTATAAAATTAGGAAAAGGAAGATACTCCAAGTACTCTGTAACGAAGGGAGGGACCGATGTTAGAGAAACTCCCGGCACGGCCCGTTCAAATTCAGCAGGCACGTTAAAGGCCAGAGTCAGCACATCTGAAGCAATTCTCTGCAGCCTGGCCGGGAGGAACGCAGAGCGGTTAGAAACAATCTGTCCTTGTTAGAGCGCCGGAAAGGAGCCTCGCTCACCTTCCAAGCTAAATATCCTTTCTCCCAGCGCATCCACAATGTCTTTGAGGGCTGCTTCGTCTGTGACATTGAAGAAATGCTTGTCGTCTGGGTCGCTTGCTATAAATTTTATTTCGTTCAAAAAGGCTTCCGGATTGATTCCTCTTCTATTGTAATAACCCAGTACCTAGGTTTGAAAGAAAAAACGTAAGTCTCAGGCGTTTTCACACAATGGATAGAGCTGTTCCAAATCGTCCAAACGAGAGGCCTCCGCTTGCGAGGAGCCATAAAGTCTGCGCTTCCCTTCCCTGCCTGACATCCGATTACAGGAGCAAATCGGGGAGCAAGAAGTTACCGTAATTCATGCGAGCAGCCCCGGCCTTGCCTGTGGTGGGGTATTTTTCATTCAGGGATCACTTCTGATTTGTACATATGAATTATGTCTTGGTGGCACTGTCAGCGAGGGCCCAATTTCCAGATGGGGAGACTGAGGCACACGGTCATGGCTGTCTTTAGGAAAAGACCCCATAGTCAAGGCTGGTAATTCCCATAAACAGTTGCTCCCAAGGAGCCTGAAGCCACTCTGTCGAGCGCTCAGGGACTAAAAGACAGATGCAGGGCTCAATCGTGGTGCCCGCTGCTGAGGTGCCCGCTCTGGCAGCTGGTGGCTCGTGACAGGCCCCCTCTACTTACAGCCACCGCATAGCGGGTGACGTTGTCCTTCTCGCTGTCCTCGATCACCTTCTCCAGGTCTGGGCTGTCGTGCGACTCTCCATCTGTGATTACAATCATTACTCTCTTTGCCCCTTTCCGGCCACCTTTCTGAAACGCTTCCGAGCTGCAAGTGAAGAGATGCCCCAGGCTGCTCAGAGCCGCCAGGTGGGCTGCGGTCCCTCAACGGCCCGTGCCCACGGCCCCCGCGGTCCCTCATGGCCCATGCCTGCAGCCCCCGTGCTGCCCACAGCCCCTGGGCCGCCTGCCAGGAAGATGCCTGGGGTCACAGAGCCCTTTGGGGAGCCTGGTGGACTTCATAGGGGACCTCCCCTGTGGTGGACCTGGCTTCTTTCAGGAGGAACTCTTAATTCAACACAAAGCCCCAAATCTGCACCAAGAACACCAGTCAGGTCCAGGCCTGGGGGTGCAGTAAAAATTTGCATGAAATGGGCACTTATCCCAGAAAAATAAGGAGAGGGAGCTGTGGTTCAGGGCTTTATTAAGCTCCCAGTTGTCTAACACGGCTGTGAAGAAGAGCTGAGCCTCTACACTGGGGCAGATGCAAGATTGCATTTGAGGGGGCTGACATCTCAGAAAAGAGGGGAAGAGAGAAGGGAACAAAATCAAATGACGATTGTGAACTTGTTACCAGAATGAAGGTGAGAGATTTTTACCGAGCAAACTCTATCCCGTAGGCTGTCCGGGTTTCGGTGCCACCTCTTTGCTCTATGTGACTGGCAGCTGCTACCACATCTTTTACAGACCTGTAGTCGTTTAAATGAAACTCATGGACGACGTCTTCTCCGTACTGAACAACTCCAACCTAGGGATTAAAGGAGCATCACAAACAGATAACCCCATAACTGCCAATGCATAGAGGAAGGGGAGCTCTTCATGGCTGTAATGGCATTACTTCTATGTTTCCACACGATTTAATCCTCCCTTGGCCCAGCCAGGGTGTGGGTTGCTCCTCTCTCCGTAGCTCGTGTAAGGACATTAATGTAAGCATTATTTCCATGGGCTTGGCTTTAAAATACATACATTGAAAGTTTATTCTGAAAAAGCATGGTGCCAAACTACAACAAATTGGCAGAAAGGGGATTTTGAAAAAGGCTAAGGGAAGCTGCATGACATGGGAAAAAGTATACAGAAATGCAGAAGTACATAGAAATGCACAAGCTGTGCACGGGCTTACTTGAATCTGGCCGGGGCCAATATAAAATTTTTTCAAGATGTTTATCAGGAAGTGCTGAACTTCAACCCAAGGATATATGCTGTTTGATCCATCCAGAACTATGATTATGTCCATGTATGTCTGGCATCCTGTGAAAAATACACAATGTGTTACTGAAAGACCTTGGCAACACTTGTAACGAGGAAATTTATGGCTTTATTCCTTGAAGTCAGGTACTTGCTCTGAAAAATCTCATTTCTATCATTTACAAAGACCTTCAGGTCGTACTCACTTCAGCAAGACAGAGGGAATCCGCATGCATCATCTCTGCCAACAAAAGGGTGGAAAACTTTCTGAGAATAACACCCAGTGATATCTTCTCTGATTCAAATGTGATATCCAGTCTAATACAGCAAGAAGCCTCCTTTCCTCCTGCGGAGCAGTGCTTTACTTGTGTGTTAATCCTCTGATTGCTGCAGAAAAGCCTCGCTGCTCCGGCTCAGCAACACGCAAGCAGGTGCCCGACTCCAGCACTACCTCTGCCGGGAGCCAGGGAGGGCAGCACCCCTGCAAGCATGGCACGTGCCAAGGAGCTCGCTTGGGGAGGTAGAGACCTATTTCTCCTCTGTGCTGATGCAAGGCTCACCACCCCGTCTGCACTCGCTGTGTAACATAAGCCAGGTATTTCCTCAGACAAGTTCCCATTAAAGCCTCAGTAACATCTAAGCCAAAAACCCCAGCAAGAATCCCAGGACCCAGTTCAAAAGTAAGAGCCCTGAAGGATTTATGAAGTCAACTGGTTTTCAGAGGAGAACACTGTTCGAAGTCGTCTCTCTATCTTGCTTATATTTTCCTAGTGGTACTTAGAGAAGCTGCAGAAACCCAGAAGATGTTGAGTTTTCCAATCACAGACGTTACTGGATTACCAGGCTCATTTACGGCAGCCATTTAGTGGCTGGCTTGTCCAATGCTGCAGTCACACACTGGGTAGTCAATCAACGTGGTCGTTAGCTAGGTAAGACGAGAGGGTTCAAACAAGACTTTGAACTCTCTCTCAAGTCCCTGACCCAGACCGAAGCGCTAACCTGCTATATTAAAATCTGTAAAAACTAATCACCCATGGGAAGATTTCTCCTCCACGTCCTGCAGCCTCCCTTGATAAGAGGGTGGTCAGGCTGGCGGGTGGCGAGGCTCTGCCGTGTCTGTGCTAGGGGAGCCCAGAGACACAAAAAGCATGGTCGGCCGTGGGCACCCGTGCACCCCGCACCAATCCGGGCAGTGGGGGGTCCTGCAGAGACCCCAGCCCATCCAAGGGACCAGCCTTTCTGATTTCTTAGCACCTACAGGAAAACCAGGAGGCTTATTTGAAACCTCAGAATAAAATCAGGTCCTAGTTTTATGCACCCAAGTATACAAATTTAGGCCAAGATGTTTAGCTTTCAGTCAATGAGCTCTTTGTATTGTGTGGCCAGGGTTTGAATTCTTTCCCT